AGCAATGAAAACATTGTATCATATGCACAAAGATAACGCGAAGCTTCACATTTTTCGAAAGACGACTTCGGAAAATTGGGAAAAGATGGCTAAAGTGCGGAAGATGATTTAACTCAAATGAGATTGATTAATGGCCTCCAATCTTCTGATCAGAGAATTAAAGCTCTAGAAATGCTACTGAGTGGAGTGTTGCTTAAACTAGGATCATGTGTTAATTTTATCAGGCAACTTGAACAAATATCCTCTTTTAGTATACAAAGCAACATTGAAAACACCGTAGATCTTCCTTTAGTTTATTATAATGATCGAAAAAAAAAAAAATTGTTAAATGCAAGTATTTTGGCCTTCAACACCTGCCTAGGAAGTGCTCAGCATTTGGGAAAAGTTGTAAAAAAATGTAGGATTTAAACCACTTTAGAAATGTATGCAAAGCAAACATTAGGTATGAAAGAACAGTAGAGCAAATAAAGAACCATGATGCTAGTATATATTCCATTAACATGAATGATACAAACTCAGAGATTTATGTAAAAGTAAATGATTACAATATAAAAATGCAAGTTGATATGGGAAGTCAGGTCATAATCATTCCAATTTTTTGAAACTAATGTCTAAACCTAAATTACAAAAATGTTTTTTCTGTCTGAAACAGTTTAATGGTACAATTATTAAAGTCTTGAGGCAACTTTGAAAACTGAATCAAAAATGAAAATTGTACGAATTATTGTTACAGACTGTGCAAAAAATCATAATTTAATTTACATGGATGCATTAAGTATCAATATTTTAAAAGTATCAAAAGTTTAATATAGAATTATTAAACTTTTATGGTCAACTTTTAGGAGAATTATGCTGAAACAATTTTACTTAATTGAGAGGCGGAAAAAGCATCAACATGCATTTAAATTGATAAAAAAGAATCTTTGTGAAGAACCTGTGGTAAAAGTTTAAGACATCAACCAAGATCTAGAATTAACAACTGATGCCAGTGAAAAAGCTATATCTGGAATATTTTTACAAAATGGTGATCCTGTATTGTATCTCTCACGAACTTTATCAAACACTGAGACAAGATATTCTAATATCAAGAGAGAAGCATTGGCTATTGTATGATCTACTCACAAAACTAGGCATTTTTTGTTAGGAAGTAAATTTAAATTGATATCAGATCACAGACCATTAGAGTTTATATTTGATTGCAATAAACTGCTAGAATTTTAAGATACGTCCTACAAATGATGGCATTTGACTTCAAAATAAGCTATAAGAAAGAAGAAAACAATCCTCCTGCTGATGCATTTTTGAGATTGTCTGCCACAAGATGAAGAAGAGGACCAAGAAACCTTTATACATTTAGTCGAGTCAGATATTGTGAATCTTGAGCTATCTATCGTGAAATAATATAAGAGAATATTGATGGATATCAAAACCAGAATAAGAAAAAATAATAAAAAGAAAAAAGCAGAAAGACCTTATAAATCTATTAGGAATGAACTGAATGTTGAAAAGGGAATCGTATGTAATGGTGATTTCATCGTACCTCCTAAAACAATGAGAAGGAAATTCATCAAATCAGTCCATGATGACATAAAACAATGAGAAGGAAATTCATCAAATCAGTCCATGATGACATACATTGTGGCACAATACAAACTCGATGTCAAAATTGGAAGCTTGGTGCCTTGGCTACTCTCAAGATGTTGAAAAATATGTGAAAAATCTGCTGAGACAAAGGTGAAGAAAGAGATGGTGTTACATACATGGCAAAATGAAAATAAACCTTTGTGTAAAGTGCATATAGATCATGCCCATTTACAGGATGTTGGACTGTTTTTAATTCTAGTAGTTTTTTTTTTTTTGATAACCTGGTATTAAGGTAAATAAACTTGCAGCTGCCACAGTGAAGGCAGTACTACAAAGTGTTTTTTCAAGAAATGGTGTTTCAGAGGTCTTGGTATCCAATGATGCTGCAGAATTTCATGATACCACCTTACACCAGTGGCAAAAGAAAATAGGTTCCTTGCCTTATAATACCCCGCCTTACCATCTTAATCTATTGGAACAGCTGAAAGAATGGTAAAGACTAGTCAAGGCGGGTTTAAATGCTTATTCACTGGATAAAGGTTTATTATGTGGATATTTAAGTAGAATGCTTTCAAGTTACAAAACAATACCTTATGCAGGAAGATCAAGGAGTCCTTCCTAGATGATAGAGAGGCAGTTGAGATTTCCTCTCACTATGAGTTTTGAAAGTGGAACACTATTATGGTATCGCCAAAGACCAGATTCAAAACCTAAACCTGCTTCATTTAACTCTCAGGCTGGTCAAAATACTGCAATCATATTAAGGAATAACTCTTCAGGTACATTAGCACACTGTGACCAAATAAACAAACGCCTAACTGAGCCTAGTATAGTTATGAATTATGAAGGCAGTATATGTTATTATTCCATCAATAACAATAAACTCAATCCTTTTAATAGTGATAAATCTGATATGTCTGAACTGCTTGTAATTGAAGAAGAACGTACTCAGAATTGAAGAAGTACATAGTAGACAAAGGGGCGAAAGCCAATATGCTTCAGGGATGTGATGCCAAAAAATAAAAGAGTGAGAACTTTTATATTAAGGTTGGTAATAAAGATATCTGATACATGATAAGAAGAGAGCTTGAGGAAAAGATTAGCATGCCAAACTTTATTAATGGCTTTAAAAATGTTAAGAGAAGTAACTCTAACCTCTTGAATTTTATCTAATGTACAAAAAAGCCATTGTTACCAATCACAAATAAGCAGTAGAACAGTAAGTAAGTTATTAGGTTCAAGATGAGAGATTAAGTGTTTTTTAATTAAAGAGTCAAAAACCTTGCTTATGTTAACAAATAGATTAATGGAATGGTAGGTAAATGAGTCAGATCGCACTTCAGAATTTGTAAAATATAGATAACAGGCTGGAAAACAAGGCTCTGATAAGCACTTGTTAAATAGTTTTAAAAAGTTATAAAAATATCTCCATAGAACACTTCTGCAAGACTATAGCAGGTATGCTGTCAGACCACAAGCTGTAGAAGAGTCTAAGTAGGAAATCGCTTTTGATACAGAAGCTAGAGGATGTGATTAGTGGAATCAAGAGATGAAATTGGTGAAAAGTTCTTAGCAAACAAGTTAGCTTTGTCTTTAAATGAGTTGAAAAAATTTAAACCATGCAAGAGCAGTAAATAAAAAAATGGTTTGCCCTTATTATAGACACATTTTTCCAAAATTGTTGGGAGCCTAGTTTTTTAGCAGACTTTAGCATTAGACAAAAGTTAGAATAATTTGAATTGTCTAGAAAGTAAGTTGGAAAGTTGACTATTTGTGTTAGAGATTGAGAAACGCAAAATTATATTATATACATAAAAAATATAATAAGATATAAAATTGAAAAGTTAGCATCTGTTAAAATTGCTTCTCTTCATTGTCCTGATTTTATACTTGAATCCTACATACATACAACCTACAACTTATCCTGATTTTATACTTGAAATTTTATACTTGGAGCTTTAGTCAACATTGTTATGCAAAAATATGTACATAATATCTACATGTTCATTAAACTCTTTTGAGATCTAAGTAATTATAAAAATATCTTTAAAGATATAAATAAATTTCCCAGTCCTGTTAGTTGCAAATACTACGATATTATAGATCTCAAAACTATGCTTCCTAATTTAGAACTCTATATTCTCCTTTATTGCTTCTCTACCATTCCTCATCGACGAACTCTGTAGTCTTATCAGTTCTCTTAATAAGTTTCCCTTATCTTGATTCTTTAACATGTTACTCACAAGTTCTTCTATAATAATACTATATAATCATACATAAAGGCTACATCAAAAACCCTCATTGATATTCACGAACTTTAATTCAACTGATCAATTTTCAGGTTACTTAAAAAGTTTATAAAATCAAAAAATATTTATAAGAAAAATGAATTATTTACAATATTTGAATTTTATAAAAACAAAATTTCCTATTTATTAAAATTTAGCAAAAAAACATACTCCATTACATATTATATAATATATATATATATATATATATATATATATATATATATATATATATATATATATATATATATATATATATATATATATATATATATATATATATATATATATATATATATATATATATATATATATATGTATATATATATATATATATATATATATATATATATATATATATATATATATATATATATATATATATACACACATATATAATTATAATCTGAACAATGTTAAAAACACCTGGAAGGAAATAAAAGAAATCATTAATATAAGACCTATTTTTTTAAACTTGAATTGAACAAAAATCTTATCACTAATCGCTGTATCTAATATATTTAATAATTTTTTTAGCACTATACATAACAAACTACTTAGCAAAGCCATACCCCCTAAATGCGTTTTTAGTGACTTTCTTAACATTCCAAATGCTAAATCATTTTTTTTAATCCTGTAACCGAAAATGAATTATCTGGTCTCATTACAAGCACGCTCAAAATTGCAAAAATCTTGGTTTAATAGCGTATGGATTTTTGTGGTTTTTTAAATTAAATTACTACCTGCAATTAAATAATACGTTTTGATATAATCTAACCTTAGTTTTGTCAGCTTTAAAACCACAAACTAGCAAAGAGCCATTTTTTAACACAAACAGATTTTCTTAGTCACAAACTATAAGAATATATATATATATATATATATATATATATATATATATATATATATATACACATATATATATATATACACATACACACATGCACACACACATATATGTTTGTGTGTGTGTGTACAAAAATGAAATATTAGATATATATAAATCTAGTACAAAAATAAAATAGATATATATATCTAATACAAAAATAAAAAGATATATATATATATCTAATACAAAAATAAAATGTTAGATATATATCTAATATTTTATTTTGTTGATTGTTATAGATATAAATATTCAAGATGAAAATGAAGCAACTCCCTTACATTATGCTTGTCGATATATAAACAAAAAAAAACATTTAGTTTTAAGATCTGATTTTCAATCATCTTTTGGGGAAGAGCAGAAACATAGTTGGTTCGGTCAATCTACCTACTTTAGCAAGTTTCAAACCAAAAGGTTTTTAGTAAAGAAAAAAAAACTTTCGGAAACAAATATTAAAAAAGAACAATGTTTTCAGAATAGCTTTATTTCTAGTCAAGATGAAAACAGTATGAAATATTTACCTCATATAGAAATGCAGTGTTTAAATAAACAAGATTATATTCCAGTTCATGATTATATTGAAAAAAAGAGATTTTCTTATGACAAGGATCGTTTTAATCAGCAGGGAGGTTTTCAAATGAAAAAATTTTCTTGTGGTCAGCTCGAAAATAAAACTAAATTTTCATTTTTTGAAAAAAAAAAATCGACAAATAATATTATTTCTAGCCGTCTTCTGAATTCATCGTCCTCAAGTGACAATTTATCAACATTAAGTGATAGTTATACTAGAGTTATGAAAAAGTCGGTAAGCATAAATGATGTTTCTTCTTTAAAGCCAGAGGTATTCCAAGAAAAACTAGAAGAAAGAAACCAAGGAGATCTTATATTAATTTATCTTTTGGAACAAAATTCTAATGTGAATGCAAAAGACTATAATAGTTCCACACCTTTGCATTATGCAGTCATGAAAGGAAATGATTTTGCAACAGAGCAACTTCTTCTTCAAACTAATATTCAAATAGAGGTATAGTTTCAATAAGAGATTTTTAATTAAGTTTAAAAAGATTTTTAAATAAACATTTATTGTAATTTATATGTTGACGTGTTTGTTTAAGTTAAATAGGAAGAGTCCTTTATATTACAGGCAACAGATCATGCAAAAATGACTCCACTTCATTGTGCTGCATCATCTGGTTCTTATGAAGCTTGTAAACTTTTACTGGAACATGGTTGTAACATTTTTTGCAGAGATAAAGAAAATATGACACCTTTACACTTTGCAGCTAGTGAAGGACATTTTGGTAATTTAAACATGTCATTTTAATTTCTTATTTGTTAACACAACTACAAAATCTATAACTAGAGTTTGAAATTTAAACAAATTAAATATTTAGGATTATTTAGATTTAATATTTTAGAAGGAACTATTATAGAAGGAACAAGAAATTTTTAGAAATAAAAATCTTTTTAGAAAGAATTTTTTTTTTACTCTTAAAATAAATAAACACCTTATTTTTCTTACCCCATTTATTTATTTCTGAAAAAGTCTTAGTTGAATGAAAACATCATCCTACTTTAAAAAAGAAAATTATTTTTTTAATGTCTTAGATGCACAGATTAACTTAATTGAATTGCATAAACACTTAACGTAAGTATCTCTAACATAGATGGCAATTGCATTTTTTTTTGTTTTTTTGTTTTGCCTCCACAACATCACCTGCTATAGCAGGAATAGCAGGACAGGTATATTATTTTTTTCTTTATTAAAATTCAGAATTATTATTAAGTTTCAGAATTATTATTAAGTTTCAGAATTATTATTAAGTTTCAGAATTATTATTAAGTTTCTGCATTATTATTAAGTTTCAGAATTATTATTAAGTTTCAGAATTATTATTAAGTTTCAGAATTATTATTAAGTTTCAGAATTATTATTAAGTTTTAGAATTATTATTAAGTTTCAAAATTATTATTAAGTTTCAGAATTATTGTTAAGTTTCAGAACTATTATTAAGTTTCTAAATTATTATTAAGTTTCAGAATTATTATTAAGTTTCAGAACTATTATTAAGTTTCAGAATTATTGTTAAGTTTCAGAATTATTATTAAGTTTCAGAACATAATTTTTTGTTTGCTTTCAGACCATCTACAGCTTACTAGGCCTAATTACCTAAGTGCATTAATAATATAACTATCTTAACATATGCGCAACAAATTTCTAATAATGTTTTGATGTTTTTAAAAATTTTAGGCTTTTTAAAAACTCTCTCTCGTTTGTTTGTTATTTGCATTTTTATTTCATTCATTTTTCATTCATGAGCGATTAGAAAGTATTTAAAAAAATAATAAAAAGTTAATTAACAAAACACAAGAAAAAAGAGTGACAATTGAATTTATACTACACTTAAATAAATAGTTTTCCACTTATGGCTCCCCTGATTAAAAGCAATACATTTAGTAATGAAAATCATTCTTATTGGTAATATAACCAATTCTTGGCAATGAAAAAAAATTATTTGTTATTAATCTTACATTTTAGATGTTTGGAATATATGAAGTCTTTAACCACTTGAAATGGGCTCAAAAAGTGTTATTGCTTGAAACAAAAAAGCAAATTAAAACTTTGTATGACTCAGGTACATGGAACAACTGTAAAATTGCTATAAAAATGATTGTATCAAAGAAATGTGTGCAATTATATAAACACAGGTGTTGTGTTTGAAATACCGAAGTATAGAGGATCAAAATAACTTTTTGATCAAGACCAGCGTTGCATCATTGTAAACAGCATAAAAACATATTTAATAAAAACTTACATTCGTAATCAAAAAGTATGAGAAAAGATTATGGTGTAAGCAGAGAGATTATTAGAAAGATATTAAAAAGTTGAAAAATTCATTTCTTACATAGTTCAACATGAGGAAAAAATGATGTTGGGAGAGAATAACCTGGTCTGTCAAAGATTAGAGCCAAATTATTTTAAGCAACAAAAGTAATTTTTAAATTTTTAATTGTATATTAAAAGTACATGTGAAAAGATTGAAAAGCAAGAAGTATGACACTCTCTTTTGTGTAAAGTGTATGGAAGCCAGTGGTGGTTCAGTAAGCATTTAAGGTTGTATTTCCGATAATGATATACAAAGACTTAATGAATCAGTTTTAGTGCAAATACACCCTAGAAATATGGTTCAAACCATCAATATCAAAGTTTTATCAAAAATCTTGTGACTTCAATACCAACACACTTAGAAGAGATTCTTGAAAGCACTTGAAACTCAATCTTAAAAGAACTATACATGGTATTGATAAAGTTGATGCTCTCGTGTGTAAAAATGAATTTTTTTTATATATATGTATATGTGTATATATATATATATATATATATATATATATATATATATATATATATATATATTTATATGTATATATTTTAGTGATGTACTGATGGCAATGACCAATTGTGATAATAATAGGTTTTAATGTATTTATTTAAGGGTATTATAATAATATTAAGGATGCAAAATATATATAAAACATGTACCTATACATCAGCAGTGACTTGACCTACGTTTACTACGAGTCTATGTCATTGGTAACCAGGCATCAAATAATCAGCTTAACCATTAGCGAATGGCATCAGTTTATTAATTGGCATTGGCTTATGCATCGGCATTGCCTAATAAGTCAAACCAAACTAGTGCATAGATCCACCTTATATATGCAAATTGCATACCTAACATATTAACTTTATATACATTATAAATGTATATAAAGTTAATATATATACTTATAAATATATTAACTTTATATTCATTAAACTCTGTCATTTGCTTCAATCGGCCTTTGCCATCAATACATCAATATATATATATATATATATATATATATATATATATATATATATATATATATATATATATATATATATATATATATATATATATATATATATATATATATATTATATATATATATATATATATATATATATATATATATATATTATATATATATATATATGTATATATTTATATATATATATATATATATATATATATATCACATTATTATATATATATCACATATTATATATATATATATATATATGTATATATATATATATATATACATATATATATACATATATATATATATATATATATATATATATATATATATATATATATATATATATATATATATATATCACATATATTACATCACATGCTTCAGAGGAATACTGCTCATCTTTTGATGTAGATTATCAATATTATGACATTAGTAAACTTTGTTCTTATAACTTTGACATTACAAACTTTATATCCTTTTTCCATTTAAACATATCCTCTTTACAAAAGCACTTTGAAGATCTGAACATATTGTTATCATTAATTACTTTTGAATTTAGCATTATTGGAATTACAGAAACAAGATTAAAAAAAAGAATTTCCTTCCACACATCCAATTATTATTCAAAATTATAATTTTGAGCACACACCAACTGAATCTTCTTGTGGTTAAACCTTGTTATATTTATCAAAAAAATGGATTTATAAAAGAAGATATGATTTTATCATATACATATGCTACCAACAAGAGTTACTGACCATTCTGCTACAATCATTGACAATGTTTTTTCAAATATAACCACTAACCAAATTATTTCAGGAAATCTAACAACTTCTATTTTTGACTACATACCTCAATTTCTTTTTGTCATAATTTCAACAAATTATTTATATCACGCAATCATAATTTATAATGCAGGAATTTTAAAATTGATAATAAAGAATCATTTAAATCTGAATTATTAAAAGTTGGTTGGAATAACGTTACCAATAAAAACGAAGTTAACTCCAGTTTTTTTGAAGCATTTATTTCTCAAAAAACAATGTTGTTAGATTGTCATGTGTCACTCAAAAAAATTAGTATCAAGAGCTACAAGCATCAATTATTAACCATGGATTACTAAAGGAATAATAAAATTAATTCAACTTAAATGAAACTTGGATTCTAAACTAAATAAACTTTTCGACATATTTGCTTGTTGCTGTTCATCGGACATTGTGTGTTTGTGTAAAATGCAAAAAAGAAAAATACATTTTTCTTTTTTGCACTAAAGAAGCAAAGGTCTTAGTAGAAGAAAGAGCTTACATGCAAGACCAGCATTTAAAAACAGAACCAAAAGCGCTATTTTATCTCTTCAGTAGATACATCTGCTTTAAAAATAATGAGCTTATAAGTTCATTAACAGATACCTCAAAATGTATATCTGGATTATTAAAACCTCAGGTACTTTTATTTGCTATAAATTTTTAACTTGTTTAGTATATATTTAACATTAATTAATAATAAAATTACTTATCATAAATATTTTAAATTTTTTACTTAAGGAACATGATGAATGGCAACCAAGTAAAAGAACTCAGGTTAAACTGTTCAAATATTTCTGAGAGCTGCGGAGCAGGTTAGCTAGCTGATGTTTTTCAATTCTCGGCATAGCTCTTTGAAACACATTACTCTATGATATCAAGCATCTATTGCTACCAGAAGTTGACATCAATAATATTCCAGCCCCCAGAATTAGGAAAAATGAGGTTGGCAGTAATTTGCCTCACAGGAGTACTTGGCACACAGTAGAGTTCAAAGCAATCACTAAAGGATATTATTCAGATTAGGTATTAAAAGATATTAGTCTTAATCAAAGACATCTTTACAAATATTGTAAAGATATTGGATTAAGTAAAGTAGACAACAAATGGGTTAATTGTAAATTAGGTCCACTAAATCATGCTCTATAGTTAACTCTTTTTATACAAACTCTTATTTTATAGACTCAATACGTTTCTCCAAACACAAGTCTAAAAAAGCTTACCCATTATATTTTTTAATTTTATGCTCCATCATGGTTTCAAATAAAGAAATCTTCTAAACTGCAAAATTACCCCAGATTTTTTTACTAATAATCAATTGAATCGTATTAAGTTTGATGATTTAAAAAGAATTAAAAAAAAAAAAGTTTAAGGTAATGCTTTCTGTTTGATCTCTGCAAATTTTCTCTAGGCGATGGTTTCTCTAGGCGATGGTTTCTCTAGGCGATGGTTTCTCTAGGCGATGGTTAAAAATGATGATGAGTAGATCTGAGCTCTCGGATTTGATTTTGATTTCTTGATTTTGATTTGATTCTTGATTTAATTGAGAATCTTGATTGATTGCTCACCCAGAAAACAGTAAATTTCTTAAAATTAGTTTTACTCATTATAAATTCTCAGACAGCTCTATATAAATCTTTTTTAAAAAATGTATTGAGCTGTATTATTTAAAATTAAGTTTTAATTAAGTATAAATAATTTTTTTTTGTTTTTAGCAAGTTTTTTTGAAAGTAACAATATTTTTATTTTCAGAAACAAAACCAGTTATAGAATAGAAAAGAAAATCCCTGAATTGAAATGCTATGAGCTAGATATCTCTTATTGATATTACTGATCTTGCTTATATTGAAATTGAGCAACTAACTACAAATGAATTTTCTGATGAAGAAATTTACTCATTTATATAAAGTAAAATAAAGCTTAATGTTAAAGGCTAAATGTTAATGTCCCCTCTCATTCCTAGAGTATTGAGAGGTGTGTCTGAAACTTATAACACGGTATATGGGTTTGAAGCCTGGCATAAATTTATACTAACAAGACTACTTAGCCAAAAAATGCAATAAAGGTTTATGTCAAATTGATATTATTCTCATTTGTACAATGATTTATTTGCTTAACTTGCTTGTTACATTATTAATATAAATTTTTTTTTTAGTTTAATATTATTTTTTAAATGACTTTAAAAAACAATATTAAAAAAAGTTAAATTAACAATCATTATTTATTGGGTTTTATTGAGCGCTTAATTTGATAATAATAAATGTAATGCTATAAGTAAAAAGTTTATACTTAAACATTAATTGGACTTAGATTATTGATTGATAAAAAGAAGCGATAAACCATATCATTTATTTCAAATACAATTTTTAAGTTATTCCTTTGTGTGTCAAATTTTTATGTGAATGTGTTGTAAAGTATAAAACCACAAGCAAAGAGTTAACATTTTTATAGCAATTGCTGATGAGGGTAATTTTAAATTTTGATCGCTAATCTGCAAGCTGTTTTGACTGAATAACTTCAACTTTTTTGTTTTTTTGTTTTATATATATATATATAAATACACCTTTCAGTATGTACAAATATTTGTTTATATATGTAAATAGTAAATAACATGATATTCTTGACATGTTTTGTAATTATTGATTTCCGAAAAGATTACTTTTATTATAAAACTCTAGAATAACTATTTAGATATTTTGACAATTTGATCACAGCTTTTGACATATTTTCAAAATTTGAAAATGCGCTCCATGCCATACAGCTAAAAGAATTACCCAGTAACTTCTTTCAGAAGGGTTGAAGATCCTTTCATGGCCGGGAAATAGTCCTGACATGAATCCCATTGAAAATATTTGGAGTATTTTAAAAGCTCAAGTTAATAGACTACCTCATATTAATAAAGAATTAAAAGTTTCATCGATTTCTAAGACTTGGGAGGAAGACAGTGACATTAAGATGTATTGCTCGTCCATGGTGAAATCTATAAAAAATTGTATAAACAAGGTCATAAAGGCCAAGGGTGGACACACCAAATATTAAATATATGTATAATTGTTAAGTGTTTTGTTCTCTGTCGTTTGGTATATAAAGTTTATCTTTCGGTTTTATTTTTGTTATTCAGTTGTATTTTTAATCAAAAGTGACAAGTGTTTCTAATAAATCGAAATCTACTGTATATATATATATATATATATATATATATATATATACTATATATATATATATATATATATATATATATATATATATATATATATATATATATATATATATATATATATATATATATATATATATATATATATATATATATATATATATATATATATATATATATATATATATATATATATATATATATATATATATATATATATATATACATATATACATATATATATATAACCCAACTAAATCAAAACTCATCAAACTAAAAAACTTAGTCTATTTAATTTATGCATTAAAAAACCATTTCAATCTTTATCTTAACTTTTTTACTTTGTTTTTTTTTTTATTGAATATGTTTCAAAAGATAAGCATTTCTCATAAAAAATACATAATTATATAAATAAAAAAAACAACAGTTTTTTAATACTTATTTTAAAAATTCAAATGTTTTGTTACTTCATTGAAAAGTGTTTCGATAATATAAAAGCACTTAAGATTAAACTTATTTAATTGTAATGGCTTTCTAAAACATTTGTCTTTTTTTTTCAATGAAAATTTGTTTGTCTTTTTAAATGTATTAACTTTAATTATTCTTATATTAAAATTCGTTAAAGAGACTTTCGTTGTCGTTGAATGTCATCATTTATAAAAGAACAAAATTTTTTTTACTTTTTAATAACATTTATTATAGAAATGCAAACTTAAACAATTTATATTTTATAAATTAAAAAAGTATATACAGCTTTCAATTATATATATTAAAAAAAAAAAATCAGTAAATTGTTAATTTATTTAAAAGCGTTTTGCTAATATAAAAACATTTTATTTTCATAAAAACAGAATGTTTTTCATTTAGCGTGTTTTTAAAATGTTTTTTGAAATAGCCATAGTCAAATCATCATAACAAAATGTAATTTGCCTAGTCATATAAAGACGTGCAATCTTCCTGTGAAAAACCGAATTAGTATAATTAAAATAAAATAAATTGTCATTTTAAGATGAGTTAATGGTATAATGAAAAGTTTACTTATTAGGTGAGAGATTTTCCAATTGCGAAGTGCTTCATTTGCAGTTGACAATTTTTTAAATTTTATTTTAGTAAAAACTTAAATATAAGAAATGAATGCTTCCTTTCATTAGACTTATTCTAATTATACTAAATGTAATAATATTAATAATAACGAAAGTTTTTTCAATATTTTAGCAAAATTTCAAAATTTTATTCCGATTATACTGATTATTTACTGAGTCATTTTGGAATCATTTTTATTGATTTATGTATATTTTTTGTTCATTAATATGTCTCTGTAAAGTTTTTTATTTTTTAATATTGATTATAGAGTTTTATTGTAAAATTATTTTTTTGAAAATGCAATAATTATATTACAAAACATGTAAAGAATTAAATATTTCTTGTTGTTTTTAAAAATATTTAATTTATGTAACTACACCATTCAAGAAATAAAGTAGAAATTAAGTATGTATGTATGTATGTATGTATGTATGTATGTATGTATGTATGTATGTATGTATGTATGTATGTATGTATGTATGTATTTATGTATGTATGTATGTATGTATGTTTGTATTATGTATGTATGTATGTATGTATGTATGTATGTATGTATGTATGTATGTATGTATGTATGTATGTATGTATGTATGTATGAATGAATGCATGTATGTATGTAATGTATGCATGTATATATGTAATGTATGTATGTACGAATATATGTATGTATGTATGTATGTATGTATGTATGTATGTATGTATGTATGTATGTATGTATGTACAGGCCTGGGCAGTAAGCTCTTGCCCACACTCCCCTAAAACGGTTTATAGGAGCAGATTATGGCTTATGCAAAAGCATAATTTTTTCTCTCAAAAGTATATTTATGATTGTAACAAAAATATGAAACACATTCATAAAAAAAAAAAAAAAAATTTCATAATAAACTGTAATGCTTTTTAAAAAGCATGGTTGTTGCAAAAGAAAAAAAATTAGGTTAAAAAAGAGCGTTGATTTAAATGTAAATGTTTTTGATTAGATAATGCTAACTTGTAACAAAAAATTATTACACTCTCTATTATATTGATAAAAAATAAAATTATTAAACTAAATTATTGCATTATAATTATTTTATGTATTTATATTTTACACATTAATTACTTTAATATATTATTCACTTTTATTGTAAAGTTTTTATTTGTTGTAATAATTCCTAAAATGCCTGCATTCTGTTACAATAAGAAAATATAAAACTTTTTTTATAAGCAGTAAAAACAATGCTTGTCTAAAGAATGCTTTTTTCTATAGCTTGTCTATTTTTTAAATTTCTTTATTTTTCTTAAAGTTTATTTGCATATAAAAAACACTTTCAAAAATTTGTAAAGAATTTTTAAGTTTTGCTGAAATATATGTAATCTAATAGAATGTATAGAATTATTGTTTTTCATTTTTTATTGTGCGTTTAATAGCGCCAATAATATGATATTGATATTATTTTTTAAAGTTTTTAAAAAAAAAAACTTTTATTTTAATTTTAGCTCCTTTTTTTTAATTTCAAGTTTATACGTTTTTTATTTGTAAATAAATTTAGTGAACTAAATTGAGAAAAATTCATCATTTAGTATCAATAGATAACAATTTACATTTGTCATTGCATATTAGTTATCATTAGTTTGCCCTCACTTTGCAAATGAGTAAAAATTGTTTTAACAAAATAAAAAAAATGATTAAATTCAATAAGCATCTTTGACATATCTAATAAATTATTAACTAGAATAAAAATTATTTGAAAATAAAACTTCCTTGTATGACATATATTTCTTAAATTAGACCTTCGTCATTAGATAAAGATACAAACGTTGATGTTCATTCAAAAAAATGATTTGTCACGTCCTAGCATGTAACAAATATAACACCAAGTTTTGTATTTAATAAGCAATTATTTTAATAAGTAAACAGATAGTTTGTGCAAAATCTTAAAGCTCTCGTAAGAAGCTGTTTAGAGGAGCAGCTCGCATGGCTCGCCATGTTCATTTTAAGAGAGCTTTTCTCTGCTCTCGCACTTATTTCTTCTCACCAAGGCCTGTATGTATGTATGTATGTATGTATGTATGTATGTATGTATGTATGTATGTATGTATGTATGTATAATAAAAGTAATAAAGTTAATAATAACAATAGTTTTTTTCAATGCTTTATTATTTAGATGTTGCATTATTACTGTTAGAAAATGCAAGAAAAATGAGTAATGATGTTTTCAATAACTTAATTAACTGCGTTAATAGTGACCAAGAAACAGCACTGCATCTTGCTGTAGAAAATAATCATCTTTATATTGTTGATCTATGCATTAAACATGGTTTTAATGTTAATTCTGAAAATAAAAATATGGTTACTCCGCTTCATCAGGCATGTACATCAGGGTTTATAAAAATTGCACAACTTCTTGTTGAAAATGGTGCTAATATTGAGTCAATCAATTCCTTTAAAGAGACCCCACTGCACAAAGCAGCTTTGTTCAATCGTGTGGATATTATTCAGTATTTACTGGAAAGGTTAATTTTTAATTTTTAATTTTTTTAGTTTAAATAATTTTTTTGTAAATAAAGTATTATACTATGTGTTTTTTTTATATTTAGTTATATAATAATAACACCGGTCATAAGCGAAAATATTTTGGCTTCAAACTTAACTCAGTTATGTATATTCACATATGAAATTTATATCATAAAAAAGGTCTTATTTCAAACATTTTTGTTTTATTTTTTAGATTTCTGATTTTTTTAAAGTGTAAAACTTAATATATTAAAATGCCACAGTAAGTTGTGTAAATTAGGCAAATAATTTCATTTACATATGTGGTCATAGAAATGTAATCTGATGTCACTTGCAAAAACTGCCTATCAGCATTATTCTGGTATAAAGATTGGGGTACCAAGACAAGTTATTTTTTCAAATATATGTTGCAGTTCTTAGTTGGTTATAATACAAAAATGGCTTGATAACAACAAAGATCTATGGTGTTTACTTTTACTATAGTTTGGTTGGAAGATACAAACCATATAAATGACTGATTTTTATGACTTATTCTTATTGACAATTATGTTGTTCATGAATAAATATGTTCAATAAATACTTGAAAATAGAATAGATGTCAAATTGGGACTGATAAAATATTTTTTAAAAAGGGAAAATTTGAATTTTATGTACTTAAATCATAAATTTCCATAAATGCTAAGCTTAAAAATGGTTTGGTTGGTTGAGCTACAAATTTGACAACTTCTTAGGATATTCTAGTTTAGCAAGTTTATGATGGTAATAAAAATGATGAGAGAATGGTAAAAAATATGATTTAATGATAGTTAAAAAAACTAGGTAATAAAGATAATAAATGGCAATAAAGAAAACTGGGGAGTAGTAATAAAAAAGAATAGGGAATGGTAATTAAAAAAATAGTGTTAGCCCATAAGTGCAAGAAGTGATTTGAATATGGAAAATGACATGATTAGGCCATATCAGACAACCAAACAGAACCTATTATTGCACAACACAACACTTTAGATCTATGTCTATCATCAGACATAAAAAGTCTCTAACATCAGTAAAATTAAATATTTATTCTTTGTTTAAGCTTTCTATTCATCTGATTTGAAAGTGGACGATGACATAGTGAGACCATACCAGATGACAAAATGGAAAGGAAATAAAAAAACTAATATTATTATAAGCAATTTTTTAATATATCATGAACCTGAATGCAACATGTCACTTAAAATAAAATTTCTGTCCTAACACTTAGTCTTTTTTCCTTCTTAGCTGCCTGTAATGAACATGGAGAAATATTTTGTCAGGATATTTTTATGTAATAAAACAAAGACATAAAGGCTATTAGAAAGAAGTTATGCTTTTTACCTAGTTTTACTGTCGTGAAACTAGGTAAAAAGCATCAATTTTTCTACAAAGCCTGTTAGCTGTTTCTTTATTAATGGAAAATAGTTGCAAGTTGAGCCATTTAGATATGAAGAAAAAAATATTGTGTTTTCCATCAAAAAACAAACAACTATTGATTCAATTAAATCCTCAATAAAATCAACCTTATCAACTAACACTGAGATCATATGGGCACTGAAATGAGCTGCTACTCTAATAATTTATGTACAAATTTAAACAGCACTTTTAAAAAGATGTTTCCTGACAGCAAGGTAGCAGAAGATTTCACCATGAGTTCCTTAAAATTATCATACATTGTTAACCATGGACTAGTGCCATACTTCAAGACTCTTAAAAGAAGAAATCACAAAATTAGATTGTTACATTGTATCTTTTGATGAGAGTTTAAGCGACATAACCCAAACATGTCAGATACCTACTTGTTTGTTATTGGGTTGTCAATGACAAAGTCAAAGTAGACAAACACAAACTTATTCTTTTAAAATTTGAAGTTTTCAGCTTTGTTGCCAACATATTAGAGCCATATTTATTGGCATACCAAATTGACAAGCCAATGATTCCATATATGTATAGTGACTTATAAAGACTGTTGTTGACCATACTGAGCTTATAAATGAAGTTTTTAAAGTTGACTTTCATATAAAAAATATAATCTGCTTATGGGAAATCAAATCAAACTAGTATTTGCAACTGAAACAATATTAACTTCTTTATGAAAGAAAGATATAATAACAACTACCGATATTCAAAGTTTCCAAAAAGATTGCACTAACATGTATGTATGACTGTTTGAAAAGTTAAAGGTTCATGGAGAGAATTCTATTAGCAGGGTGTTAACCAGGAATAAATTTGTTACAGCGTTTTGATGAATATGGGATTTTGTCAAAACGCTGATTTCCAGTCACTCTCCTACCCCCCTCTTTTTTCCCTGCTGAGATTAAAATGTGTTCCAGGAAGAAAACTTTCAATAATAATTAATATGCACTATTATTTCAATCAGTGTATATTAATTATTATTGAAAGTTTTACATTAGATTTATTTCAATCCTAATATACCATGGCTACTTTCATATAAGAGTATTCTTTTGAATATACTTTTTTTTTTTCACTGGTTAGGTTTTAAAGGGTGTTTTTTAAAGTAATATAGTGATTTATGTTCAATGAAAATCTCCACGGAGGAAGCCAATGGTCTTCTACTTTTAATTATTATTTAAATATAAAATTATTGATCATGGACAAACCCTCATGTAATAAATTGTAGAATCAAAGAATTGTTTAAAAATAGAAAAAAGAAAAGGTTTTGAAAATAGCAAACATGAGTTCATAAGATTCATATTTTACATTTATTGTGAGTTCAATTTAATAATTAATATTATTATCTTTATAAATAAATCGCTTGATATTTTATACAAAGTATAATAAGTGGTAGTTATGATATTTTATGATAAATGGTAGTTACAATTACAAAGTCTCAGCACAAATATTTCTTAAATAACAACCACAAATATTTAATTATGAATGAATATTAATTGCAAGCGATTGCACGCAATCTTTGTAACGAAGAGTATCTATAATTATTTTTTCATTCATAGTCATAAAATGTTCAGTAAAGTTATAACCAAAAAAAAATTAAATTTATGCTGTAACACAAAATAAAAATGTTTCTATCAAAAAAAAAAATCTTTTTTTTTTTTTAATTTTTTTCTTCCTAAAATCACAATTGCTTGGCTAAATAATAAAAGATTTTACATCAATACGTTGTTTAAGTGAAGTAAACAGTTTAAAAATATGATCTGCTCTAATCATTTATTGGAAATTTTTCGTAATTGTAAACACTTTCTTGAACTAGGTTTTATAGTAAAATAAGGCACTTTTTAAAAACTTTTCAAATCTAAAAACTCAAATATGGTGTTCTTTAGATTAACAAAAGGGGTAATAAATAAGCTTTGAAAATTATTTAATAAATAGAAGAGTTTTTTTAAACTTTTTAAAAACTTGAAGCAAAAAAAATTATAACACCTAGAGCTCTTGTTTGGACATAATACGCTGACAAAATCATGCTAATTCCAAACCAGTGGGCCCAGGATGTAAAAAAGACGCCTTTTAAACATTTTGAACAACTTTTGAATGTATTGGAAGTCTTGAATGTTCAAAAGACGTACTTTTGAAGTCCCGCGCCCAATGGGAAATGAAAGAATTCAAATAATCTATAAATTGCCTTAACTACACCCAGTCATTAAATAAATTTCTAGTACCAGTTTGTAATAATCATTAAACTTTTTTTGTATTTAACATATATTTCAGAGGTGGCTTTTTAAAAATATTAATCGAGAAATGATAGTTGATAAATAAAAAAAGATTTTAGTTGATGTCGATAAGTAAAATAGATTATTTTTGTTGCAAACATCTAATTCAGTTGATATAAAATACCAAACAAAAAAAGAAAAACAGTAACTAAGAACTTACCATAATATAACTGTAAAATACCGGCTTCTCGATATTTTGAATAAACTTTGTTGATGAATCACACATACTACTTAAAGTAGAGTTTACAGTAATAATTAATGAGTTATTTGAATTTTCAGACAAATCAAGCAAAACTTTTATAGAAATAGTGGGTGGGTGATTGTGGGATTGTGGGTGTTAAATCAAACAAACTTTTAAATTTATTTCTTGCTAACTTTTTTATATAATATTTGCTGATGTCAAAAGGCATTGTAAAGAATTTGCAAACATTGAGAAGTGAATTTTACAAGCAGGTTGCCAAGTAAATCCCTAAAGTTCTGGCAAAGTTCCAATTTTCAATGCTATTTTTATATTAGTGTTTAATAATAAATAATTTTCAATAATTTTTAGAATTATTATTAAACTTAAACTTTATTTTAATTTAACGATGAGGTATCTAATATTATCAATAATATTTTAAAAAATAACACAAGCTATGCTCCTAACAGCCTACCCTTATTTTTTCTAAAACTCACATCTCACATTATCTTAAAGCCACTTTGCACTATTATTAATAACTCATTTAAAAGTGGCACATTGCCTGATGTATTCAAAGTAGCTAGAGTTGTTCCAATCCTCAAAAAAGGTTCTCTTCTTGATTACACTATCAACCCATTTCCCTTCTTTCCAATTTGAGCAAACTTTTTGAAAAGGCATAACAGGCTGTACAAGTTTCTAGAAAAATATAAAAGCCTTTACCAACAACAGTATGGATTCCGAAGCAAACATTTCACAACCCTTGCACTAATTGAAATTACTGAGAGGATTCGAAAAGCACTGGGTAACAAGCACTTTGCATGTGGAGTGTTTGTAGATTTGGAAAAAGCTTTTGACACTGTAGATTACTCAATACTTCTAGCAAAATTGGATTATTATGGAATCAGAGGTATCCCACTTAAATGGTTTAGTTCTTATCTTAAAAATAGAAAACAGTTTGTTTCCATTAATGGGACTAATTCTGTCATAAAAAAGTGCTCAAATGGTGTCCCTCAAGGTTCAGTTTTAAGACCACTTTTCTTTCTTATTTTTATTAATGACTTAAATACTTCTTTTAAATTTGCAACTGCTTACCACTTTGCTGACGATATTAACATGCTAC